GTTAGGGTCAGTAAGGCCTCGGGGGAGATCAAGAGTCTCCACGAATCAAAGGACTACACACTCGTTCCGCAGTCTGATTTTCCTCACGGACAAAACGTAATGGGTGTTCAAGGTGAAGGCAGACAACACTTACAAGGCCAGGCTAATCGATCTAATCAGGTTTACGGAAAGGATTGCGGTGGTACCTTCGCTCCCGTCTGCAGACTACAAAGCGTCCGGATGGTACTGGCAACCGCAGCTGAAATGGACTGGGAGGTACGGCAACTTGACGTGAAGACTGCTTCTCTGTATGCTGACATAGAAGAAGACGTGTTCGTCAAGATGGCACCTGGGTTCGAAACCAATAATGCAAAAGGAGAGAAGCTTGTGATGAAGCTTGGAAAGAGTTTGTACGGGTTAGACCAACGTCCCCAAAATTGGTGGAAAATAATCGACCAAAACTCATCGAACTGGGATTTAAGCCACTCAAGTCGGACTCCTGCGTGTACATCTACAAACACAACAGCACGGTTGTGATGTTCACCCTCTACGTGGACGATCTTCTCGTCATCGGAGGAAACATCGAGGTGATAGAAGCGATCAAGAAGAAGTTCATGGAGCAGTTCCAGATGAGTGACTTAGGAGATGTGCCACTTGTGCTAGGGGTGTAGGTCACTCGCGATCGTGAACATGGAACGCGCACCATCACTCAAGCCGACTACCCCAAGCCTATTCTTGCGTGGTTTGGTATGGAGAAATGCAGGCCCACCACTATCCCAGGGTTTGGTTCGGAGCTAACCACGGAGCAGCCTGTCGAGACCCTCTTGAACAAGGAGGAAACGCAGAGGTATCAGGCCATCACCGGGTCGATCGTGTATCCCGCTCAGATTTCTCGGTTGATGTAATGAATGCTTGCAGCACGCGCCATGTTCCAAGCCAGCTAAGGCGCACATGGCGACTGCGAAGCACCTGCGGTATCTCGCTGGAACACCCGGTTTTAGCATCACGTACAACCGAGGAGGCTTCATGCTGCCTGCATTCTCGGATGCCAACTGGGGTAACAACCCGGACAATGCCAAGTCAACTTCATCGTACATCATCATGATGGCAAAAGCCCCCATAAGCTTCAAGACCGGTCCACAGAGCTTTACGGCAATGTCGACCATGGAGGCGGAGCTGGTGACTGTAGCATGAACAATGAAGGAAGCGATTTCCTGCTCCATTATGATGACTGAGCTAGGGTTCGGACAGCAGTTCGGTCAAGTGCCGTTGTACATCGACAGCACGGCCACCCTCCACGTCATCGGGAATCAAGCATACAGTTCCCGTACGAAACACATCGCCTTACGTTTCCTCTATATTCGAGAACTGGTCAAGGAAGGCGCAATCACCATTCACTACATTTCTACGGATCATCAGCTCGCCGACATCGGGACCAAACTCCTGAGTGAGCATCGCCTTCGTCTCTTACTCGACCTCATCAAGAACTTCGGGGAGCTAATGACTCTGAAACATGGGTGTGATCTGTCAGTTTTTATTATCGGTTATTTTGTGTAAACTCATTTCACCAGATAGTCTGTTGCTGGCAGTTATTTTTCTGAAATGGTTTTCAAATTTCGCAGGTTATCACAGGCAAATTTCATTGAACGGGAGTGTTATGGAAATGTCTTCGCATCTCCTTTCTTAGTCAATGTTCACTAGTGACGTACGTATATCTCATGTGTCGGTTGGAACGTAACGTATGCGGAGGAACTACATATACTGTACGTAGTCTGTCTCACTGTCGTTCGGTGCTCGACCTTACTCTTTGGAATCTCTCTCTCTGTGATCTATCGGACTGTCTGGGTACCTTAGCTGTCCTTGTCGTACCTTGGATGCTGCTGGCATACTGCCTTGACTACAACCGTCTGTCTGGTGTATCTGTCTGTGCTGGCCACCTGAGCGCCGTATTTACAACATCTCTCATCTTCGGCAATGAAGTACTGCTGTGCTTCTGCTGCTACAAGCTCCATGAGCTATCACATCGACTAGCGGCGGTGGGCATCAGCTTCTGCTGCTACGTGCTGGGGTGCGCACACAATGCCCATAATAGAAGCGGTACACTTTGGCAAAGCTCTCGACGAGACGGCTTCAACGCCACCGGTTTCAGCGCTGTGACTCTTTCCGCTGTTGAGAAATCGAGACTAGAAAAGCGGTCCAGGGGGTGTGGTATGGAGTGTTGTATATGGTAGAAGGCGCCGTATGTTTGAGTTACAGCAGTTCACAGCTGCTGCTCTGCCTCGCTTGCTTGCACACACACGGACTAGAGTCACAAGAAGAAGGTATTCATAGAAGAAGCGTCACTTGCGCTTGGTTGTTTGCGTGTTGTGCCAAACTATACTCTCGGCGAACAATTCCACAGCACCCCGACAGAGGAGACGGACGGTTTTGCTGTGCTCTCTGCTGGAGAGGAGAGAAAGACAAGAGAGAGGGGAGGCGTGGTGAGCAGAAAGGCGTGGCGGGGGCACGCGAGCACGCACACCAGGCCCTAACCCTCAAAGAAACAGCAGTCCACCGCAGCACCGGCAAGACGCCATCAGGACTTGCTCGACAATGTGTTTCCTCTTGGGGAGGTGCTTCGTGCATTGAGAGGCAGCTGAATCAATAGAGCCGTGGGTGAGGGAGCTAGGAGACAAGACCCGGGGGGGGGTCAGCACATGTTTTCTCAGCCGCAAGAGTTGTTTGAAATCTTGGAGCAAAATTTGGATTGGCCCCGGCGTTGTGTTGATCCGATCGAACTGGAAAACTCAGTGTTGCCTGTTGTACAGATATTATAGCTGGACTGTGAGGATTTGGCCTACACGTTTAGAGTTTTAACCGTTGTGCATACGGAAAGAGACGATTCGCTTTATTGTTGCTGTCAGGCAATGAAACAACTTGTGAGTGTGCAAATTGCCCTACCCCAAGCAGGCGGAAACGGCACAATGCAATTGTTCCGGGTGGCATCGTCGTTCCACATCAATGTGTGCAGACTAGAGTTTAAACCGACAAAAAACTCTTTGTGTCCAGCAACTGTCCCCCAACGCTAGCTGTAAAACTTCAACGCATCCCTCCCGAACCGCGTGCCATTTGTACCTCGAGCGGGCAAGTCTTTCGTTGACGTAGCAAGTGTAATTGTATTTTCCCGCAGATGTTCCGAGCTCTACATGTATGACGGTGGGGTGTAAACGCCTGACACTGTTTTACAATCAACCTTCTCCGCAGACTCCAAAACAACCCCGTCAAGATACTGGCCATTACGTTATTACCAGACACGCGACTTACGATCTACCGTGAACCCACAGAAGCTTTCGAACCCACCTTGTGTCCTCTGATCTGTCGCTGTATCCAGTCGTCTCCCTCCCCATCATCGCCAGGTCCAGCCTCGTTCGGCAACCGCGAGTAGTCCACTTTCTCCGCAGTGCCATTTGGACCCCCGTAGTTTCTACTGCCCCCTCCGGCGCCCCTGCCAATGGGAGCCTTCCAGTCGTTCATTGCGGCACCAGTGAGAGTCACCGACCCCCGCGTTCACCCTCTCGCTCCTCCTCTCTGTCCCCCGCAACGACCACGCGCCCGTACTGCTGTGTGCGAGCCGAGGGCCGAGAGGCACCCATAACAAGGGGCGACGCACATATCGCAAGAACAAGTACTAGGGTTACGCCCCAAATGGCGCGTAGCCCCCGCCCCATCAACCAAGGTGGGTCACAGCAGTGGAGGTTGGCGAACCACCGCCTACCGCTGCTGGCTGAAGTCACCAGAATCAAGCCGTGTGGTGTGTCTCCAAGCTCTCGGTCATGGCAGAGCTAGGTGGTAAACGCAACCGATTCCTCATGAAGAACCCAGAGGTGAGCGAAAACGGGAATTTTGCGATTGATCTCAAAACGGTCCGAACACCAGCATCGAAGATACTTCAGATACCAAGATACGGGTGCTCTCACGTAAAATAGGAGGGAGTAAACATGATCGAACGCGCGGCGGGAGGGCACTATGCATGAGCTAATAATCTCGAAAGAGGTAACCTTATAACATCGTGGAAATTTGTGGACGGAGAGCCTCGTTGCTACAACTGCCACGCACAGAACCAACCATCGTAGTTGCCCCGCATCTTCGCTCCGTCGACCGATTGACGACTGAAATTCTACACATGTTCCCGCAGATATCACGCCCTAAAGCAGCACCCGCCCCCCCCCTGCGCGCATGGCCACCATGTTTACAGAACGGAGATCTTAACCAGTACTGGTACTCGAAGGCGACAATTGACGCTATTGTAGGTGAGGATTTGAACAGGTTCCATCATTTCAGACATGACTCGCCCACCTACTTTATTTAGTTGTAGGATTTCGCATGTGTGGGAATGGTATAGCTTGGCTGGGTTGATGTAAAATTTCGTAACAGAGAATAGCTTGCCCGATATGCGTGGAGACACGATGCGATTCGACAGAAACGTGAAACATTGGGTCGTGAGCGGAAGCGGAGCGTATCGGTGGTACCACTGTACATACACACGATTGGATACAATGTCGGCGCAATTACATCTTTGCAGACTATTCCTCAAAAAAGTTCACGAAAGGATTGTATGTGGGACTATAGTCTAGATATCCATTAACGCCGCCATTTGTGCAACAGACGTTGACAGGTGTATTAGCCAGATTGTTGTTCCTTGCCGTCGCCGCCGACCCGTACCCGCAGCGGAAGTGGGGGAGTTTGGATCTGGCGGTACCGCGTTTCTGTCCACCCCGAGCATATACTTCTCCTTGGACAGGGATCTCAGGGCGAAATGCAAGGTTTTCGACGTGAGTTATTACGCACCGTGGTATGTTCAGGGGTGTCTTTTCGGCGCTACGCGTAGCGGTTGCGACTGGAATGGACACGGGCCGCCTCGTATCCTCACAACCTAGGGACGGTACTGCCCTTGAGATACACTTTCGGGCAATATGCAACCCCCTCCGTACCGGAGTATTCAAGTTCGCCACTTCATTACTCTACTTGTCGAGAATCCCAGGGAGAGTTCCATGAAGAAACTGAAGATCGATAGCTGCGTTCTTGTTCTCATGCCGCGACAACCCCACCACGGTATGCGCTTTTGCGTTGTCCAGCTTGACACCAAGTGGGCGAAAGACCCCGGTTTCGTGCTATATGACTATACCAAGCCTCAAGACATCCCGGAAACGTTACGGGGTACATTCGACATGGTCGTTGTCGACCCTCCGTTCGTCACCAGACAGGTGAGGCTCGTTCTCCGTATACGTAACCCAGTTAAGGTCTAGGATAAAAAGGTAGAATAGCGAGGGCACATGGCAGAAACATCGAAAGCTCAATCGAGGAGAGCTGTCCGCCGTTGTGTTATTTTGTTGTTGTTATGGAAAGGTGCTACAAAAGGGCAAATTATAGGAACAAGCCGTCTAAAATGCGGGACATCGATCGACGTTGCCTCACTACGGTATCCCCTGCGAGAGCCTTCCACGAAACAATGACCAATCAACATGCGCGGGATGTCCAAACTGCGTCCAATTATGCACCGCTCTCTAGCCGCTGTTTACTTGAGGGTCCACTAACGGTATTTTGTACTTCGAAGTACGAGCTTCTATGCATTGCGCCTTGCATTTATGGTTAATGTGGTAGGTGCAGTTGACTCCCTACGACCCTGTGCTCCAGATCCCATTCTCACTGAGATTCTTCGAGCATGGTGAGGTACATTTCTGACCCCTGCACATAATGTATGCACTCGATAGTCAGTCGTTTGAACTCACGTTTCGCGCCACACGAGCATTGGCTTACAGGCATTCGCTCTATCCTATCAGAACGTCATCCGACAATATTCATGCAACCCACGTTGTTTGCAATCGCGCCCATACTGCTTCCCACTGAGCTAGGTGTGGGAGAGCTACACGGCCGCGACGAAACTGCTACTGCGGCCGGGGGGTGCCAGGCTCGTCTTGTGTAGCACGATATTGGAGAACGCACCGTTCATGGAGGAACTGCTTGGAGCAAGCCCGTGCGAGTTCAAGCCGTCCATACCGAACCTTGTGTACCAGTATTCGCTTTACGTCAACTACGACTCCAAGAGGCTTGCATCATGCAACCCGGAGATACCATCAGAGGCGTGATGATGGGTGCCAACAAAAATTTGCGCGGAGAACTGGCTTCTTTAGTACCACCAATCACCTGTACCGGCAGTGTGCTCTTGCAGACGAATTTTTATGTTGTTCGTTTTGTGCTGCAGTGGTGCACATAATTCCGAAGATCGATCATTTCCATGAAAAAGGCGAAATGTTTGTGGTGCTATTAGTTCTGTAGGCTGCGATTTTTGTTGGTTATATTGAAATTCTGTACAGGTTTGGTGTTTTCGCGCGGATTCACGCACACATCGGGATCGACATGCATAGGAATGCACATACGACAGGCATGGCGACCTGGAGTAGGGGTTTACATCGCTTTTACGGTGTGTTCCACACGGTTGGGTAACTCGATTCTACCAAGAGAGGAGGGAAGACACCTACACAACGAACGCTAACGTCGTTTGAGAGAGGAGGGAAGATATTTGCACAACAAAAGCTTGTGTTATTTGAGAGATGGTGGGAGAGCAACGCTTTTATTGATAGCGCAATCTACGCGGTCAGAACCCGGGTTTTAGTATGGTACCCGGACTAGTGTGGGCAACGGGGCCCACCCACGAAAACTACCGCCACGAATCTCTTCAGCCACGCCACCGCTGCAAGCTTTTCCTTGTCGTGCGGAAGGGATGGCGTGTGGTGCCTTGCCTGTTCGGCGCCGGACTTGTAGAATACCCAGGTTCATCGGAGAGAGCTCAAGATAGCCCGGTCGTTTCTGTGTTATCGTACGAGGTCGTACGCAACTCAGCCGTATGTGTTCCAGCTAGGTACCCGCAACGCCCTTCACGAGGCGGAGGAATTTGCGGATCCACCACCGATCCGATTCGTACAGGATCACAGCAGAAAAAGGGAGGCAAACAGTATTCCGTTCGGCACATATCCTGACCAATCTCCGTTCGAGACACTCTGCTATACGGGTGGTAGCTTTGTCAGGTGCTACGGAAAGGCAATCACGCGTTTACAAACGACAAAATTATGGATTGATACATGCATCCCAAGCTGGGGCATTTTCGCGCCTATACCACAAGCCACGCAGCAGATAGTGCTATCTAGACCATGGCGGGCTTCGTCAAAACTGGAACGTCAAACCGAGGGCGCATGCCCGACAGCACCATCTGCCACCACCACTCTACAAGAAATTCCTTCGTCCGCAACCGTGCAAGTTTACAGAGTCCCCCCCAAATATGTACATCAACTCCCGCCACATATAGAAAACGCTGTCGGTGCAACGGAACCCCAGACCCTGCATCATTTTTTACCCACAACACCGGGTGGGTCCTCCCGCAGCCAATGCCACTGCAACACGGAACCTGATATCGCACAAAGGTCGTGTTTGACCCGTGCCGCCCCCCCCCTCTCGCAGCGCTTCCTGAAAATTCCAGGGATTCTTGGGGGCAGTTCTAGACATGTTTGCCGCACCCGCCGGCTCCTTGTTTGCCTTTGCGCGATTGCTGATGTCATCACCCGCGCCAGGTTTTGCCCCCATCAACTTCACACGACCAAATCCGAGTCCGTCGGTGGGGTCGCCGGTAATGGCAACGCGTCGTACGTTCTGTTGCCGATTGGCGGGTGGGCGTGGGGGGATCGGGAGGAAGAGTAGATGAGTTTGGCATGACGTTCGCCTCGAAGTACACGCATGCTACAACTTCTCCTACATATCCAAGGGCATATCGGCGAGAGGCGAGACACCGACCTAACGTAGCCGGTCGCAAAACAGACCAGGGCAGCCATGATCAACGACACGAGCACCTTGAAAAATCATGACATATAGGCGACTTTGAGGCCCGACGCACGCACTTGCAACCGGCTGTACGTCTAAACGTGATGGAGCAGCACGGCGTGTTGTCCAGGAACAAATATAGCCACATATTTCACGTCTTGGACAAGCACGTTCTTATGCGAGTGTAAGCCAATGGGGCGAGATCACTTGCAGTCGTGATATGGTCGTCCGGCAGCATTGGCGCATCCTCCGCCCATAAAAGTAAAAGAGATGGCGGTGAGCGAGGCAATGGATCGTGCGAATGCTGCCGAAACCTGAGCACGCTCGCTTTTCATGCGGCTTCAGAAAACATTCTCGCACGCCAGACCATCGCTGCTTACCGGCGGCGCACAAGAATTGACGCACTCACGTGGGTTGGCCCATGTCCTGGAACCGCGTCGACCCATTGGTGATCCCTCCAGACATGTAGACGTACACCTCGAAGATCAGGGACGCCAGGAGGATGGCAAACAAGCCCGCGAACGCCTGGGGAACGATAACACAAGGGTGTACAAGGCCGTCGCTTGTCAGCGAGATGATCTTTCAAACGCAGGGTGGTGATTGGCCAGGCCAGCGAAAATCCGACCCCGGTTAGGGTGATGATTGGCCAGGACGGCGAAAACCCGACCGATTCACGCAATCTTGACTGGTGTGTGGGTGCAAAGAGATATAGCTCCTTTCGGCTTGGTCGCATACCATGGTAAATCCTTGTGTGTACTATTTTCCCAGTCCGTGTTTTGCACTCGGCAAGTGCTTTGCTCTGTTTTCCTCTCTTTATTTGCTTGTGTTATTGATGGGGAAGTATCGGCATCGACCAGCCTGTTTTCCTTCATGTGGAATCAACGGCAACTGTACCGCCACGCCGAGGCTCAGACCCCTTCCCCAAACGGGAGGGCTGCGTCACCGCCAGACGCCAAGGGTTGTAGAAGAGGCGATGGTGCGACCCACGAAAAACGGTATGACGTCATCCGTATGTGGCGGGGGGCAACATCGTCGTGGCAAACAAGGATCTGCTTCCATTCGACCAGGACGTCGTCTACAAGCAACACCCGGGACAGAAAGTTAAACACCACCGCACTATTCACTCCATGCCGTGTGCACATGACCCACACCCGTGGTCCAAATGTCAAGGGTGTCTACCTTATCCGCACCTGGTTCGTAGTGGCGAAGTTGACGGCTTCTTGCTCTTTCCGGCGGATGCCCCCCGGCCCGTCCTCCACCTGGTTACTGTCGGCGAACCCAAACCCCCCTCTCCCCTTGTCACCCCGCATCCTGCTAGACCCGTCCGCCGAAATCTCCTCGAAATCGTAACCCCCGTCCTCGTTCTTGGTAGCCACGACCTGCTTCCGGCCCGAAAACGCCGGGGCCGCCCTCTTCTCCCGCTCCATTCTTTGCCGGGTGCTCGCCCAGGCCTTGTCCCAGTCTACTTGCTCCTCCTCTGCGCCCTCTCCCGCCGCAGCTGCTTCGCCCTCCGCTTGTGGTGGGCCCTCCCCCGTAGCACCGGCGTCGGCTAGACTCCCCGTCAATTGCTCGTCGGCTCGAGGCACCGGCTTCGCCCCGCCGTCCGGCGAGGATGGGGCGCTCTCTGATTCTGGGGCTTCTCCCTGAGAGTCGGCGTTGCCAGGGTTAGGGGAGTCGTCCCGGGCATTGTTCTCGTCGCCAGAGTCAAACAGCGAGGCATACGGCCGGTGAGGGCGTCGGCGGGAGCTGCTTGTTCTTGATATTGCTCTCGGTGGTGACGACAACCAGCCCCCCACGCCAAGCGGCGGCGGCGGCGGCGGCGGCGGCGGCGGCGGCGGCGGCCGCTGAAGCGGTTTGTTCGCGCGGATCGGGGAGGAGAACGCCGTTGCTTGGAAACCCATCCCCGCCTGGAGCCCCACCCCCGCATTGGAAGGAAGAAAACATAGCGCCCTCATTGCGGGGTGCCCTGTCCGAGCGGGTGGACAGACAGGTTACGGCATCGAGAATACTGAGATGACGGCAATGCTGCACGACATCGTGGTGCAAACCCGGAAGGTTTGTAGACAACACCAGTTGTTGGCAACCGAGAACCCCAAGCATCAGCCTACAGCAAGGCTGCCTCGTGGTTGAATGTAAGGGTGGGTCTAACAAATGATCAAGTGTATTGCGAGAGTAAGATCAGTCCGTGAAGGGCGTATTGATTGCAGTGAAAAGCCTCCTGCGCGTGTTCGTAGCCGAGGGTGGCGGTCGGTAGCAGTGGCGGACAATATTGTAAGCTCATCCCGAGATCACGATAGCTTTCGGCCCGAAATACTACAAATACTACTATGGAGTGGTATGTAGCAGTGGTATCGCCCTGGCCGGTGTTGCAAGCGGGTGCTATCCAACCATAATACTCTGAACACAAAACATATTTATTCGAACAGCAGCTGTGAAAGTGGTAACAGGATAGGGGGGCCAAAGGAAGTAATGCCTAGGCGAGGTGGCTGTGGTTATATACGACGAGAGACGATACAACATGTTACATGTTCTTCAAGTAGATGCATTCCATAAGTACTGCTACCGTGTTATCTTACGTATATACCACAACGATGAAACGATGTGCTGCTGTAAAATGCTTCCACTGCTTCCACTTTTTGACTTTGGCCAAGATATGCCACATGTTTACAAGGTTCGGTGACTTTGTTGAGGACGAGTAGAGGGACTAGACAGAGGACTTTCGCGTACTATACAAGGACAGCAACAGGATGTGTGTACAGCTTCAGCAGCAGCAGCAGGAGCAGTACAACGTAGATTTGAAACGAGTGTCACGGGGACGCGAGAGCTCACCCTGTGTGCGTCAGTCAACTCGGAGACGCCCTCTGCTCACCTGATAGCAACGACAACAACCTTCTCAGCGCGTCCTCACTATCCTCTGAGTGCTGGTGCTGACGGCACGTGCACGTGATGCTCGGGGTTTGACCACGCTCGCTGCTGCTGCAGAGGTTCTCTCCGACGAGTTCATGTGGTGTGCAAACACGCCTCCTGTCATATGAAACCCCCGTCCCGTCCTAAAGTGGCAAAATCAACGCAAAATTTGGCGTCGTCCGAAAGCTGGTCAGGCAGCGAGGGTCTTCGACTTCCTGACTTCCTCCGGCGAGGTCTCTTGAAGAGACATCCACAGAGAGATTGAGAGAGAGAGGGGCAGAGGGCGCGCGACGCCACAAGAGCACGACAAGCGCCCGTGGTGAAGGGAGTTATCGTGTCTCCTGATCCGTGGGCGAGGTGGTCGCTGTGCGCGAGGACCGCAGCGCAACCGGAAAGAGGACAAGAGAGAGAGAGAGGGAGATCGCCAACCCTGCCTTTTCTGACGTTGGGAAAAAAAACACCAGAAGGGCGAGAGGCGGTTGGACCACAAAGCCAGGTACAAGGAGCGGGCAGGTGGGGTAGGGGTGGGAACGGGGCAGGACGGAGCGGGTTGTTATCCACCGCAGCCGTCAGCCGAGGGGCTGTCGGGCGGCGCGCCCGCCGCCTCGACCCCAACGCACGTTGTTGCCAGATTTTGTCGTTGCTGCTTTTTTTTTCGGTGTGCAAAAAGGAGCCGTTTGGGGGTTAGGGATTTGGCGCGCTCTCCGCCCATGATGTCTCGCTCCCGTACGTGTGCGTTCGTGTGAAGATCAACAAATCCGGCCCATGGTCGGGAGCAAATGCCGACACCGACTCGCCAAGTCAGCGGCATATGGTATCTCAGAGAAAGGCTGCAGTAAGAAGCATGTGCCCTGCTGTTTACCGCAGGTGTGGTGTTGTGTGGTGAGAGGGGTCATCATCGGTTCGCGGAGAAATGATGCTCGGAAAAGTCGACGAGGAGAGCGTTAGTTTTTTTTCCTGGACCCTGCTGCTTTATTCCATGCCGAACCCCGCCCGCTTCCTTGCCCGCAGACGTAAGCCTTGCCTTATGTCTCGAGTGCCCTTCTTGGATCTGCGTATTCCGCGTGGTATCGATGATGCGCGCTTGCCCAGCCTATCTTTTTCGTTGCTCTCCTATGAACATTTCGCCACCCTGTTATTTCGCCCGTTGCTCTCTATCAACTGCACTCCTATTTTTTTGGGGATGGATGCGAAAAAAATCAACAACCGTAATTTTTCAGCAGCAGCAGCAGCAGCAGCAGGAGCAGCAGCAGCAGAATACCGCGCGTTTGGGGCGTGCAGCGCGCCCAGCAGTAGGCACGGGAAGAGAAGAGAGCGCCACGACAGCCCAAGCAGGCGAGTGAGAGCGCCTTCGAAACCAACCGTGCGCCCGTCCGTGCTATGGTCCCGAAAACGGAATTGGACGCGGGTCACGACGACACGGCATCGACCGGTAGCTCTGCGTACGACCAGCAGCAGCAGCACCTTGGTGGCAGCGAGGGGCGCAGAATCCAGCGTGCAGCCGCCGCAAAGGCCATCGACCGCGGTAAGCGTGTCGCGGAGATGATACTGGAGTGCAACGAGGACGGAGAACACGGGAACGAGGAGGGGGGGAAGGGCGGGGCGGCCGGAATCGCCGGCGGCGATGCCGCTGCCGCTGCCGCTTCAGCTGTTGTTGAGGAGTTTGCGGAGGAGGACTTCGATGGCGGCGGCGGCGGCGGCGGGGAGGGCAACAACTTGCTCTACCGCAGGAAGCCCATCAAGACCAGGTGGTCGGCGGCGGAGGACGCGCAGCTCAAGAAGCTCGTGGATTCCAACGGCTCGGGGAACTGGAGAGTGGTGAGTGACTTATTCTGACACACGTCCATGATGCCATGTATCGTATCTATAGGACCCTGTCGCTGCTTGCATATGGTACGCCTGAAAAGTGGCTGGCTTTCTTGGTGTGTACCTGTGTTGGTCCCCGCGGAGACCGGAAAGAAGCCATGGTTGTAGCATTCCTTTGCTGACTCCACACCAATGGCCACGGGAGAAGGCATTTGCTTCCGACTCGCTCCACCGGCAGCACGCGTGACATGCCTTGGGCTCAAGTGCAGCCGGCCTGCGCCGAAAAAAACAGATGAAAAAAAGTAGCGGCAGTTTGCCCCGATCCCCGTTCGCATTGCGTCACAAGGGAAGCGATGTCGGTTATAGTTTTTTTCGGCCCCATACCTGCATATGCATGCGACCCCTTTTTTGTTTCCGCCTGCGTTCGGGAGTGTCTGCAAGAAGAGGGAGACACGTGCATTTGCAGTCGGGGGGTGTCCCGAATCCGGAACTTGTGGACCTTGTGTGCCTGCTGTAGTGCTTTCAACCTGTTAGCGTATTTAGACTCTGCGCGGCATTGAACCGGGTTGCTGTTTGTATGTGCAGATTCACACGACACTCAATTTTTTTCACATCGAACATCGGAAAGATAAGAAAGAAAGCCTGTGTGTAAGCACTTGTCATCATACCACACGAATGCACACACCCCGTGTTCCTTGATGGTGAAAGTACGTTCGTTTGGGTACGTATCCGCTCCGGATCAGTCATCACGCATCACCTGGAGTCTCTTGTAATTTCCCTGCTGCGTCTATTCTTGTGTGTTGCACGTCAACAGTTCCTGTTGGCAGATGAAGGCTGGTTCTCCAGGTTTCGGTGCCGTTGAATCTCGCCCAAAAAATACACCAGCCCCCGATCATGCGGAGTGACGCCCTCTTGTTCGGATTCTAGGCGTCCCAGTGAAGATATTTGTTTCGTGGTTTGGGTCCAAGGCTCAGAATCTAGCATGTTGCATGCATATGCTCGTTGAGTATTGCAGACTGCTGACTATTAATGCAGCATGGGCGTGGCGTTATTTATGTAACGCAATGGTATGCATTTTTGTGCGAAACGTACTTGAGGATGTTGGCACCTCGCAGCTTTACACACCGATCAATTGGTTCCGACAGTTTTATGCATACCGCACTGGTTGGAAGAGGGGTCTATGTAGCATGCATCTCTTTTTCCACCGATACTTGCCGGAAACAAGCCACACTGCTATGAGACGGGACCACACGTGTCGTACATGCATATGAGTACACGTTTCGCCATGTGCTTTTTGGGCTCGTCGTATTTCACGCTGGACGCACAATAAGGCTGCTTCCAGCAGGCTAATTCTCGTGTGTAGTCTGTTGTTGGTCGATACTGGGTCCACCACGTGTGTACGTGAGCTTGTGATGTTTCCCGCTTTCTTCTGGGAGGCATGTCGTCCAATGGTGACTATTTACGAAGGCTTTCCCGAAATGAGTTTTTTTCCCGTCCCCCCCAGCCTCCCCGATGTTTGCCATCGGGGTTGGGTTTTCGTCGCTTGGCAACGACGTTGCAAAACATGCCGCCCCCCCCGGTGTTTGTCATCGGGGTTGGGTTTTCGTCGCTTGGCAACGACGTTGTAAACAAGCCAATTCACTTCGTGAACTCGGCAACCAGGTTACCGTTTTTTTTTTACCTCGTTTTTTTTTTTTGGCGGTAACCATAATGGTGGTCGAGTAGATCATGTTGTGCGGGGTCGAGAAACCTCACTCTGCGCAACGGGGGATGATCGTACCACGTTGTGTTAAAATGGGCAAGCTCCCTCGGGGCAGTTACACAGTGCTTACAACTGTCTCTGGAAGTGAAAGCACCAGAAAATAAATTAAGTCATACGTAGCTGTCATCCGTACGCAAGGAAGTAAGCACAAGATGCCGAACACCCTTAGCAGGATGCAGCTCACCCTTCATGCGACTCGCCAAATACCTCACGGCGCTTCGCGCTTGGTGATGTGAGAGCCTGGTCCGGTGAGAACCCGGCGTGCTCCGTCCCGGCTTTGTAGGGATGCGAGGTCAATGGTCAAACGACTACGGCATGCACGACTATGAGTACACCCCCCCCCCCCCCGGTGTTTGCCATCGGGGTTTGGGTTTTCGTCGCTTTGGCAACGACGTTGTAAAACAAGCCCCCCACTCGGTGTTTGCCATCGGGATTGGGTTTTCGTCGATTGGCAACGACGTTGTAAAACAAGCCAATTCACTTCGTGAACTCGGCAACCAGGTTACCGTCT